GGAAGGACTCTACCCAAGCCATAGTGAAGAAAGAATCCTGCCCACCCCTATTCTTCCTTGCTTTTTAATGTAGCCTTACCTGCTGCCATGCTCTGCGAAAAGTAATATATAATAAGCAAGTTCACTCTGTGGGAACGTACTGCTTGAATTTGTCTTGTCCCGCTGTGATTCAGCACTATTGCCTGTTCTGGAAAAAAATCCGTGGCTGACGTGGTAATCGAGGAAGAAAGTGGGCTTGAGAAGGAAGCCAGAGGAAGCCCTAGCTGTATGTCGCAGGGGGAGCAGTAGCTCTCTGTGATTTGCATCACTTTTCTAGGACTTTTTGGTTATTTTCACCAAAAAAGAAGGTTTCTAATATTAGAACTACTTCAGTGTCCAAACAAACTGTATCCAAAACAGGATCCACTTTACAAACTGCTTTCTGGTTTTATAGGTATATGGTAAATGCCTTTCCATCTTGTCACTTCAGTGGCCCAGTCTGGAAAAACCTACCATAATCACTTAAAGGCCTTTGTTTTATTTGCAGTCTAAACAGGATAAAGAAGCTTATGATATGAAGGCATACCGTATTCCTTCAAACTCTCCCACCTCTGCTATACTCTCAGGAGTCCTGTCTTGACAAGGCTCATGCAGAAGTCTAGCAGAGCATGATAGACCTGAATTGTGATTCTTGAGTTTTACCCTATCAGTTCAACCACAAAAATCACCCCTCTCAAAAAGTGTTTAATGCCAGGCAATTAAGCAGAGTTGCAACGTGTTGGGGTGAACAGTCTCTTCCTATGTCATGCAAAGGAGAAAATCAAAACATGTAATTTTTGGCTGCATAAGATTTGGCTTTCATATTACTTTTATTAATGCTGTTTGAAACATGCAAGGGACTTTTGGTAAACCTCTTGTATCTGTGTATTGAATTATACTTTTAGCCTCTAAGAAGCTCCGATAAAAACAAATGACCATACAAAATTTATGCAAGAATTATACAAGAACTTGAAGAAACAGCAGAGTTAACCTCTAGTTTTAAAAGTTGCTGCCATTTGGCTTGCTGAAGTCAAAATAAAGATTAGATGTCAAGCTCGGGGAAATTTCACTTCTTATGTCTAAATGTAGACCTTTGAAGATTTTACAGTTCTTTATGCTTCCTGCTAAAAACAGACTTATTAAAATGAAAAAAATGAATTTCATTTAGTTTACACTTAAATAGTGAAGATAAGTGAGAGTAAACCTCTACCTTTCATGTAGCAGTAGATGCTAAGCCCTGTGTTATGAAAGGTGTGTTGACATTTGATAAATAATGGTGCAGCAAAAGTGGGCTTCAGGGACTGGGAAGCGTTGTTTCTCTTCACTCTGTCATTGAACTGTCTTGCGTGCCTGTAAGTCTTGCATTAGATGTTTGATGTTCTCTCATCTCAGTTTTCCCATTAGAAACTGCTTTGAGAACTCTGGATGTAAAAGCAAATCAACATACTATATGCAAAGAAATATTAGCATAAATTACAAACTACTTTTAGGTGGATTGCTCTAATTATTAGAGTGACACTATCATCATAGTGAATTTTTTGCCTGTTCTAGCAACATTTACCTTTGTCTTTTGTATTTTTTCTCTTCACCTTCTGATACTTTCTTCAGGCAAGGGAGAGAATAAAAATCTCATTTCCTATGATCTGAAGAGACTGATAATATTCCTGCAGGTGCATTTTGCAGAGACATCAGAGCACTGGTTACAGGCTGCAGTGTAAGGGATTTTCTTCGTAGACAGGAAATACATCTGGTTACAAAGCTTGATGCTGCATATCTACACAGAAATTAATTAGAAAGAGTATGGAACGCAGAAGAGAAAAATGAGCTCACAGCCTGAGCTCAAGGAAAGATACATTTCAATGTTATTTATTTACGTTTGCAGTTTCTCCTCTCCTGATTGATGACATGTTTTAAAATAAAAGGGTAGGTAAGCAAAACGGAAAGGAATGAAACAACACGTAGTGGAATTTACTTTCTCAGACTAGTGGAGAAAGACCACAGAAACACAGGGACAGAAGGAACCCAAGGTGTTACCTAGCTTCCCTGCTGCACTGGAACCATGTGTGTGTTTTTAGAGTGCTCTTAGGCCAACACAAATTTGCACCACTGCAGAAACTTGGAAAGACTAATTTCACAGTGATAAAATCAGTGTTTTCTGGCCAGATCAGAGTGCCAAAAAACTACTACACAAGGTAAAAAAGAGGGAATGGGAATGTTTGTTTGGGGGTAAGGAGCAGGAACTCCCCTTTCCATGGTAGAGCAGACTTTTTAAATCACTTGTGAAATGACACTTGTTTTATGCACACACAAGCTAAATAAAGCCAGACTTAGCTCTAAAGAAAACTCATCTTGCCTTCCTCTATCATCAGCTTTTTATTTGTACAACAGGATGAAGCTGAGACTTACCAGGGTAGCTCTGGTTTATGCAGCACAAGGCTACAGTTTCACATCAATGGTAAGAGCAGTGAAGTATGCTTTGAACTCTTGCTGTCGTGTTTATGAAATCTCCTTTGTTACTAGTATTAGCTTGTTCTTAGAAAAACTGCCCTAGCTACCTAGATAGGTGCTAGGGCCCATGCAAATCTGAGCTTCACCTGCTCAATTAATAAATTAATTTCACACAGAACTCCTAATATTGCTTCTGGCTGCATCCTACCAGTTACTTGTGTTTGAGTAGGGCTATCCCAGTCTGCTGTCGTTATTGTGTTAATGCTTTTTAGATTGCTAAATGCATAGATATGACCATGTTAGGACCCATTAATTACTGTGACAGCAGCCTGCTATTTTAGAATCTCTCAGTGCAAGTTAATAACAATATGCATATGGAAATGAAAGGTCCAGAACTTTGAAGAGCTGCTATATTTTATTCCTAGAGGGCTCCCATGAATTTTCCATCTTTTTTCCCCTCCTTTTAGACACGGAAAGGTTGATTTGATCCTTTAAACAAAAAGAAAAGTTCCTATCCGTTCAAGTCTCAGTGACAATGACAACTTCACCTGCAGAAGACAGCGCAAATGGATGCTGGGAGGCAGAATGTACATAGCTAAACAGCTTCCAGGCCACAGCTGATTTGGAGCTTGGGCAGCATTGGTCCTCTTGTGCTTTACACAACAGCAATTAAACTTCCTGCAGGTTCTGTGCCCAGACTGTGGACTTACGCAGTAAGGACAATTAACTCTTGCTTGGCTGCTCAAATGACATTATCAGTTTCTGTTAAGCTGCTACAAATTTTGAAAGGAAAACAAATCTGAGTGTCTTTAAAATGCTTGGCATTGATCCAAAATATTTATAATAAAAGATTCTAAGGGTGATTCTATATTATTTATGACATATTTATATTCTTTATCACTGGTTGTGAGTGTGTTTTCAAAAAATGTTTTCCAAACATAGCAAGACAATATCTGCCATGGTAAGCGCCAGAGTTAAAAAAAGGAATGTGAAATTCCTGTGCTACTGCTGGAGTTAGAAATATAAAAGTTACAAAACTGAAGAAATAGGGAACCTACCACTGGGATATACCCAGCTCTGTTGTTCTATTCAACAGCCACTTAAGGGCCTACTCTCTCAATAAGATGTTAAATGATGTTAAAGCAAGCATACAATAATGAATCCATGTGGAGTTTAGCCAGAGGGTGGAGATAAGGTATGTCACTTTGAATAAATAGAAATAGATAGTACCCTGTAATTTGTACATCTCTCAGATGTGCTTTGTAAAACCAGGATTCTCACATCAGTAAGAGCTTGGTTTGAGCAGGCTGTGACTCACTGGATGTGGAGATCAGTTTACTCTCTTTTTCAGTGCGGTCATCTGTTACATCTGGCGTGGAGAATATTAGGAGAAGAGCACTGGCTCTTGACTGAACACGAAATAAGAAAGTAAGTGCAGGCTTGAATTTATTGCTTTAGCCCCCAAATATTGCTAAAAGTAGCATAGGATCCTTCAGATTTATATTTCTCTTGAAAGGTAGTTCCCCGGACAACTGTGATCTCACCTTACATCACTGATAATGCCTAGAGAACATGGTGGATACAGCTGCATATACGCAACATACAACAGGTGCCACAGATGCATGTCCAACCTTAACATGATAGTATCTAGTTTCCATGATTCATGTTACTGTGCTAGATACAGTTACCTGACTTCTTTCTTAGGCTCAAAGGCATTGCCTGGGGTGCAGTTATACAACTGACCGGAGACAAATCTAAAGTGGTGTGGCTGCTGAGAACAGCTGTGCTGTTTTGGTATCTCTTCTTTCCCCAACCCATATTTGAATATTCCCACCTTCCCCTTTTGTTAACATTTGTGTGATAATGCAGCCTATCCCTATATGAGATAAAAAAGCTGAAAACCATTCTTTTTTTGCACAGACAGATTCCAGGCAAAAATGTTCTCTAACTTGACTCACCCCACAGCTGCGGGGTCAGGCATGCTAGCATAAAGGAATGGGCAGGAACATGTGGCTAAGAGTAAACCATTCATTGTGGTTGCTGTGTAGACATGGATTAGCCTAAGCCAATCGCAAAACTTAACTTTTGCAGTGATGATGTACAGAAGCAAGCATATCTCGTTTTATCACATTAATCTTTAATAAATAAAGCTAAACAAAAATAGTCATAATCCAAACAGAATTTTGGAACAAGTGATATATACAGTGGGACATTTTCAGGTCTAAAGGATGTTGAAAATACAACTTCAGCAGAAAGTTAAACTTCACTACGTATTACAAATGAAAAAAAAAAAAAGGCAGGAAAATCTCTAAAAGCGTTTCTTGTTAGTAGCTTTATATAAGCCGCTTCTTCCTTAGAGTCACTTCTTTTGAGCTTTACTTCTCTTTAATTGGGGAAGACTCTTCACTGAGCTGCCCAGCAGCAGGAGAAGAGGCAATGGGCAGAAACTGAACCACAGGCAGTTCCATCTAAACCTGAGGAAAAACTTCTTCACTGTGAGGGTGACAGAGCATTGGAACAGATTGCCCGGAGAGGTCGTGGAGTCTCCTTCGCTGGAGAGATTCAAAACCCATCTGGATGTGATCCTGGGCAATATGCTCTAGAGGACCCTGCTTGAGCAGGGAGGTTGGAC